TCTTCCTCCCGAAACTGAGAACGGACGCTGCTGGACAGGGAAACAGTGGCCCTGAAGGACGGAACGGCGTCAAAATCGAGCCCAAAAACTGCCTAACGTCCCTTCTGAAACCCTAGAAAAACAATAGTTTTCGACCATTTTTTGTACCGCTGTTTGTACAATGAGACATAGTGAGACATAGAACCCTCCTGCTGTTGCTGTTGCTGCTGCTGCTCTTCCTCCCGAAGCTGAAAAAGCACGCTGCCGGACAGGGAAACACAGTGGCTCTGAAGGACGGAACGGCGCCAAAATCGAGCCCCAAAACTGCCTAACGTCCCTTCTGAAACCCTAGAAAAACAATAGTTTTCGACCATCTTTTGTACCGCTGTTTGTACAATGAGACATAGTGAGACAGAGAACCCTCCTGCTGCTCCTGTTGCTGCTGCTGCTCTTCCTCCCGAAGCTGAAAACGCACGCTGCCGGACAGGGAAACACAGTGGCCCTGAAGGACGGAACAGCGCCAAAATCGAGCCCAAAAACTGCCTAACGTCCCTTCTGAAACCCTAGAAAAACAATAGTTTTCGACCATTTTTGTACCGCTGTTTGTACAATGAGACATAGTGAGACATAGAACCCTCCTGCTGCTCCTGTTGCTGCTGCTGCTCTTCCTCCCGAAGCTGAAAACGCACGCTGCCGGACAGGGAAACACAGTGGCCCTGAAGGACGGAACAGCGCCAAAATCGAGCCCAAAAACTGCCTAACATCCCTTCTGAAACCCTAGAAAAACAATAGTTTGCGACCAGTTTTTGTACCGCTGTTTGTATATTAATGAGACATAGTGAGACATAGAACCCTCCTGCTGCTCCTGTTGCTGCTGCTGCTCTTCCTCCCGAAGCTGAAAACGCACGCTGCCGGACAGGGAAACACAGTGGCCCTGAAAGACGGAACGGCGCCAAAATCGAACCCAAAAACTGCCTAACGTCCCTTCTGAAACCCTAGAAAAACAATAGTTTTCGACCAGTTTTTGTACCGCTGTTTGCACAATGAGACATAGTGAGACATAGAACCCTCCTGCTGCTCCTGTTGCTGCTGCTGCTCTTCCTCCCGAAACTGAGAACGGACGCTGCTGGACAGGGAAACACAGTGGCCCTGAAGGACGGAACGGCGCCAAAATCGAGCCCCAAAACTGCCTAAAAACAATAGTTTTCGACCATCTTTTGTACCGCTGTTTGTACAATGAGACATAGTGAGACAGAGAACCCTCCTGCTGCTCCTGTTGCTGCTGCTGCTCTTCCTCCCGAAGCTGAAAACGTACGCTGCCGGACAGGGAAACACAGTGGCCCTGAAAGACGGAACGGCGCCAAAATCGAGCCCCAAAACTGCCTAATGTCCCTTCTGAAACCCTAGAAAAACAATAGTTTTCGACTATTTTTTGTACCGCTGTTTGTACAATGAGACATAGTGAGACATAGAACCCTCGTGCTGCTCCTGTTGCTGCTGCTGCTCTTCCTCCCGAAGCTGAAAACGCACGCTGCCGGACAGGGAAACACAGTGGCTCTGAAGGACGGAACGGCGCCAAAATCGAGCCCCAAAACTGCCTAACGTCCCTTCTGAAACCCTAGAAAAACAATAGTTTTCGACTATTTTTTGTACCGCTGTTTGTACAATGAGACATAGTGAGACATAGAACCCTCCTGCTGCTCCTGTTGCTGCTGCTGCTCTTCCTCCCGAAGCTGAAAACGCACACTGCCGGACAGGGAAACAAACACAGTGGCCCTGAAGGACGGAACAGCGCCAAAATCGAGCCCAAAAACTGCCTAACGCCCCTTCTGAAACCCTAGAAAAACAATAGTTTTCGACCATTTTTTGTACCGCTGTTTGTACATTAATGAGACATAGTGAGACATAGAACCCTCCTGCTGCTCCTGTTGCTGCTGCTGCTCTTCCTCCCGAAGCTGAAAACGCACGCTGCCGGACAGGGAAACACAGCGGCCCTGAAGGACGGAACGGCGCCAAAATCGAGCCCCAAAACTGCCTAACGTCCCTTCTGAAACCAATAGAATGAATTTTAGCTACCTTTACATCCGGTCCCCAAATAGGAAAAGACAATGAAAAAAATCACCTCCCGGGGGCGAAACACCATGCCTCTGAAGGACGGAGAAGCCCCAAAATTGCACCCCGAAAATGCCTAACGTAACTTCTGAAACCCATAGAAAATGATGCTTTTGGCTCCTCTTTCCTCTTGCTGCTGCTATGAATTTTAGCTACCTTTACATCCGGTCACCAAATAGGAAAACACAATGGAAAAAATCACCTCCCGGGGGCGAAACACCATGCCTCTGAAGGACGGAGAAGCCCCAAAATTGCACCCCGAAAATGCCTAACGTAACTTCTGAAACCCATAGAAAATGATGCTTTTGGCTCCTTTTTCCTCTTTTGGCTCCTTTTTCCTCTTGCTGCTGCTATGAATTTTAGCTACCTTTACATCCGGTCCCCAAATAGGAAAACACCGTGGAAAAAATCACCTCCCGGGGGCGAAACACCATGCCTCTGAAGGACGGAGAAGCCCCAAAATTGCACCCCCAAAATGCCTAACGTAACTTCTGAAATCCATAGAAAATGATGATTTTGGCGGCTTTTTCCTCTTGCTGCTGCTATGAATATGAAGTTTGGCTACCTTTAAATAGTAGTAGTAGTAGTAGTAGTAGTAGTAGTCCGAAACAAGAGTCAAAAGTATTATTCCCTGGCGCGCTCCCCCTTGCGTCTGCCGGGGTCGGCGGATATGTTGATATTTCTGCTTGACTCTTAGATTGCAATAATCTTGTCCGCATTTGTCAGCGCTGACAGTAATCATTTGGAGTGGAATGTGCGGCAGCGCTTCAAAGCCCGCCAGCTCTTCGAGGCAGGTTCCAAAGCGTTCTTTGTTTAGTTGTCTGAATATGTTTGAATCCTTTTTCCATCTTTCTCCCCAAAGCTCGTGCGAAGGTTTCCTTGGAAAGAGCGGCTGCCAATCATCATCTTCATCGTCATCATCGTCATCATCATCATCATCATGATAATGATGATGTTGATCATCATCAACAACAACACTTACACATTGACATCTACAACTTCACATATGCAGATGTGCAGATACAGGTGTATAGATGTAGGTGAAAGCATCTACACATTTGCACTTGTATAAATGCAATTAATTGCAGATGTCTAGCTTCAGGTGTACAGATGTAGGTGAAAACTGTCAAAGCTTCTGTCTGTACATGTGCCTGTGTGTACAAAAGTTCTCTGTGTGTAAAAGCACTCGTGCGTAGCAGCATTTCAGATGTGTCTAACAGTTTCTTTGTGTCAAGGCTTCTGTATAAATTTCTGTATGTAAAGGCACCTGTGTGTAAGCGCTTCTATGTGTCAAAGCTTCTATGTGTCAAAGCTTGTGTGTGTGAGAGAACCTGCGTGTAAAGACTTTTGTGGCTAAGAGTTTTCAGTGTGTAAAAGTTTCTGTGTGCTATGGCTGTTGCAAGGCACCTGCGGTTAAAGGCGCCTGTGTGTCAAAGTTTCAGTGTGTAAATGCATGTAAATGCACCCATTTGATCCATTTGTAAAAGTTGTTTGTGTGTAAAGAAAAACATGTGTGTAAAAGCGTTTGTGTGTAAAAGCACCTGAGTGTAGAAGCGGCATCATCTGTGTGTGTGTGTCAAAACTTTGTGAATACTTCTGTGCCCAAAGTGTTTTCGGTGTAAAAGTATTTCTGCGTAAAAGATTCTGTGTAACAGCGTCTGTGTGTAAAAGGTTTTGTCAGTACAAGCCTTTGTGTAGAAAAAAAAATGTGTAAAAGAGTGTGTGTGTGCGTGTGTGTGTGTAAACGTGTTTCTTGTGTAATTCTTGTGTGAAAGCTTTGGGATCACCATCATCATCAACACTATCATCACCGCCATCGCCATCATTATTATCACCAACATCACGCCATCGGTTTTATCATAGATATTCAAGCAAGCTCGGCCCTCTAATGTTCACACGCAATTCAAACAAGTCTAGTCATTCTTCTGATAGATCGTATCAAAGCATATTCTGGAGGCAAGACAAATCGTATCTTGGCAAGCGGACCCCCACTCACACGCACGTGTTCACTACATTTTATCTACATAAACCAGGGACACGGGCACTTTTGCCTACTCCTACAGTTTGTAAAGACCCAAACCACACTGCTCGCAGTGAGCTTTCAATCTTGGCACAAAGCAGGCGTTTAGAACCATTTAGAATGTTGCCAAGCCAGGGATACTCACTACTGTAGTGCTCTCTTTTGTTTATGGGGCTTATAGGCTGCTTGTTGATCTTAAGACTGGCTGGCAACTTCTCCGCATTCTGCGGGATATGTCCTGATTTGATTCCTTAATTCTGTGCTGCGAAGACATGAAGACATGACTTCGTACGTATTCGTACTTCTCTAGAAAAGCTTAGAAAGCAGGCCAATGGCGACGTAGAAATGCTATCACAACATGTTTAAAAAGAAACCATAAGAAACCATGGTATCGCGTTCGCTTATTCACGCTTGAAATAGTCTGTAACTCGCTTCAATTGTTGCAAACTCTGGTTTGAACCAACGCTACCGATCAGCTTGCGCCTTCTGCGAAGTCTTGATTGTGCGAACTGACGTTGATGCATTGATCACCGTGGATTTGTGTTATTTGCGTTGTGTTTCTCTTCGATTTGCCGGGCATTCGCTGTGTTTTGCTTTGTGTTGCTTGAAAAGTGCAGGTTGAGAAGACTAGAAAATGGGCCTCAGATGTCAACATCGTCCTCCCGACTTTGTGACAACACTGAACATGTAAACCCTCATATGATTCATATGGATTTATATGGATTCATATGGATTCATATGGTGTTTTTGCACTAGCTGCATTCTCTTCCGCTACCCAGAATGATTTGGAATCAGCCAGGCCTTGCACTGTTCCGCAATGTGGATTGTGTTTTTCCCGAATGTCTGCCAGGTTCAAGATTTTGTCATCCAGAGCGACGATGTGAAGCTGATGCGCAAAGTCTACACTACCGACTTCCAACAATTATTCAACATGGGGTGCCCTTGTAATATGAAGACATCAATGATCCGGATCAACAGTACATGATAATGATCAAACTGACAATCAATATGTATATACAGTGATGTATAGACATATGACAGGCAATTATTGACACACACACATGTATATATATATATAATATACATACATTATACACATACACACGTGCAGACGCATGCCTACACACACATATACATACATAATATATATATATATGTACATATGTTTATGCGTGTATATATGTGACAATATGTATGTATGTATATATATATAGTATATATATATACATATATGTGTGTGTGCATACAGAGATGTATGTGCAATATACATCAATATACTGTGTGTATATCGATACACATGTGGATGCACGTGTACATACATACACAAAATTGTGCTGATCCGTGGTGTCACGTTAGCAACTTGGCTTTTTCAAGGTCTAAAGATGGATTTGTGCCATTTTATGCAGGTACCAGAACTACTCCGAAGGTGAGTGGCGTGTAGCCCGACGACTACTGAAGGCCATTGGCAGACAAATTTTGCAGCTGGTGCAGCTGCAGCGGGTGGTCAGATGCTAACAGACGCTCATAGACGCTAAGACCGCTAAGAGATGCTATCTGCTGTGGCACCGCTTCACCCGAGACTGATGCAGGAAACACAAGACATGCTCGGCTTCCAGGCCAACGCACTGCCGGCAACTCCTAAGTGAAGTGTGTTTGCAAACAACGCAACTCTATCATGAAATTAACCAGCTTCGTGGCAGGATGGCCCCAGTACTGCCTTGTTGAACTTTATGGAGACCTATCACTTTGAGGCATCAGAGTTGCTACGTCGACTGCACGTGCTTACGTCAACTTGAATGCCAGACATGAGAGATGACATATATGACATGAGATTGAGTTGTCTGACTTGTTCGGCGGACCCCGCGAGTTATTATTTGCACAGCAGGCCCCACCAAAGTGGATGGGCGTCCGGGACATCCTTTAGTGCCAACCCCAAGGTTGGGATGGTGTGGGGCAATGCCCATGACTTTCATCAGAGCACAATGAATGGCAGGAATATAACGAAGAGGAGCTAAAGTGTAGGAAAGGCAAGGGTGGATGTTAGTGGTGTCCAGGTGATGTTGTGATTCTGGACTATATAAGACTATATATATATATATCTATGCATACAATGCATATACATATGTTCACCAATACACGTATTATTGGTTGTGAATCATTGATAATGATTGATCATCATGAATACTAGTGATATGATGGGAAGAGGGATGAGGAAGACAATACTGAGAAAAGTGACCAGGACCGCGGTCACACCCACTGCAATAACAGAAGAATAACACAATGGCAACAATAGCAGCCAGCAGCAGCAACAACAGCAGCGACGGCGGTGACGAGGAGGAGGACGACGAGCACGACGAGGACGAGAGGAAGGTCAAGAACGGCAACCAACACAACTACCACAACAACCACAACAACAACAACAACCACAACAAGCACAACAACCACAACAACAACAGACGCAACAACAGACGCAACAACAGACCCAACGAACGCAACAAACGCAACAACCACAACCGCAACAGCCGTAACAGCCGCAACAATCATGGGAACCACGGCAACAACAACAACCACAACAACCACAACAACCACAACAATCACAACAGCCACAACAACCACAACAACCGCAACAACCGCAACAACCACAACAACCTCAAGAACCACAACAACCACAACAATCACACAGCAACCACAACAACCACAACAGCCACAACAATCACAACAGCCATGGGAACCACAACAACCACAACAACCACAACAATCACACAGCAACCACAGCAACCACAACAGCCACAACAATCACAACAACCATGGGAACCACAGCAACGACAACAACCACAGACACTGACAACGACAACGCCTGTGACAACGCCGGCAACAAGGACAACAAAGACAGCAAAACGAAGAAGGAGAAGAAGGAGAAGACGGAGAAGAAGGAGAAGAAAGGATGGGAATGAGAGGGGTCGTCGTCATCATCATCATCATCATGAGAAGGAGGGGGACGACGACGACGATGACGATGATGACGATGACAACGATGATGCTGTTGCTGTTGCTGTTGCTGCTGCTGGTGGTGGTGGCGGCTTCTTGCCGCTTGCGCTTGCTGCGATTGTTGTTGTGCCGCTGATCGCTCATGGTAGCAGTATTGCGGTTGATGATGCCAATGACACTGCCGTGAGGGCTTTGCGCCCATGGGCTCTACATGCACAGTTTCGTACGTGTTGTTTTCCTGAGGCACTGAGCAGTGCAATTTAACAACAACAATTTATAATTCCCTCATTGGGAGCAAATGTAACGTGCGATTTCTTCCCGACATTTCCGATACCGGAATGGGAAACTGCAATGATTCAGCTGCGCTAGAAAAGTGGGAAGATGCATGCGCAGAAAGCATGGACATAAGGCCGGAATCCTATTGATTGATCCACGCTGTTTCCACAATCCACTTTGTCAGAGGGCAGCTGAGTTTCATCGTGAAGCGATGGTAGAAGCAACCCAGTTTCACATCCAGTCCTCCCAGACGACAAGCTCTGCGTTTGGTCATTGAAAAAGTGTTCGTCTCGTTATGTATTCAAAAATCGACAGATTGTACAGGACATGATATGTGGTGTTTCATTGTTTTTCTCAAGATGTTTCTTGCAATTCTTCAGCTGCTATTTAGTGCAGGCGCATGTGCAGGAATGTGCAGATTGCTTAGCCTTTAGCAACATATACATTCACTTCGACTTTCCGATTGTTTTTTCTTGCCGAAGTTAGCCAGCGAACCGGGAGTCAAGGCTGTGAGCAAACATGAAATGCCTTGAAATGCCAGATCTGCATGACAACTGCAGCTTCAGCGATCTCTATCACCGCACTGGCCGCCCTTGCTAAAATGCATTGGCAATATGTGGCAATTGGACACACCAACTTGGACGAAGCGACTGAGACATCCAGAGATATGATATCTACTCGTAGAAGCCAACCCATCTAGACAAATGCGTGGCAATGCAAAAGTGATATCATGAACAAATGCACCATCTTATTCGCTTTACCAGATTGTATAATTATACAGTATACATATATATATATATAGTATCCAGAATTTATATATGAATTTATGGGTAGGTGATTTTACACCCCCACGTGAGGAAGCAACCTTTTTTTGTCACTGCTTCATAATCGTTGGTCCGACTCTTCCTGAATGCCACTCGGAGCAATTCTCAGCATAAGTAGCATTTACAACACTGGTATCGGAACAAATGGCTTGTCAGAGAACAGGTGCAAAAGCTCAGTGGCATTGCTGCAGAAGCTTGTTGCAGCCAGTTGTAGCCTTTCAGCCCACTAGTTGCCCAGCCCGATGAACCCTAGTTAGCCATACTTTTTCACTAAATTATAAATTACTATAGTAATTCAGGTCGCCATGTGATTGCATAAATCATTTGCAGAAGCCATGTGACCATGTGCTGGAATCCAGCAGAAATTTGGTGTGGATTTCTCAGAACCAAGTTCGTTGGTTGCCGAACTTCAGTCTTGTCTCTGTCCAAGATGCTCTGGTTGGTTTTGCTATCATGTTGAATAATAAAAAACGAAAAGTACCGCACAAGGCGGTGGCGGAAGTTTCAAAAATAGGAAACTATAGGAGAGGTTGGTTGTTGTGAATCACAGATGGCAGAGTGAATCCACTGATGGACCGAAAGGTGGTTGGAGTTGTGTTTTTTGGAGTGGCTGCAATGGTTGCAGTGGTCACCTCACCACAGCTGCTGGATGTAGTGTGGTGTAATGCAGTTGTAGTTGTAGTTGTAGTGTAATGGTAGTTGTAGTGTAGTGTAATTAGTGTAGTGTAGTTGCAGTTGTAGTTGTAGCTGTGGTGTGGTGTAATTAGTGTAGCGTGCTGTACTGTAGCGTTGTGTACTGTAGTGTGGTAAAATGCGGTTGAGAAACAGTTTGAAAAGGCCACTGGGTCACTGCCTTAAGTGAAAAATTGGCTGCACTTATTTCCACGTTGGGTCGAAGCTAGCATGGACAAAACGACGACACCCTCATAGGCTCGCTGATCGTGAAGAAGTTGGGATAGGGCAGGGACCTGGCCGCAAAAACGAAGGTCGATGTCGCCAAGTGCCACGCCTGCCACGCAAAAGCAACATGGACTTGAGCAAGTGCCACCCCTGTCACGCAAAGTGCCGCAGCGCCCCGGGCGACTAACGGCGACCAAGCGCGCCACCAGATCCAGCCCAGTGCCATAAAATGGCACGCCTACGACGCAAAACGAAGGTCCATGTCGCCAAGCGCCACGCCTGCCACACAAAACCTAGGTCGATGTCGCCCACTCAAAACGATGGTTGTCACGCCTGCCACGCAAAGTGCCGCGGTGCCCAGGACTTGGGGGGTGCACCAGATGGGGATAAACAAGAACCCTACACAAAGATGCGGGGAAAAACACAGTGAATCGCGGCTTTTCTACCTTTACGCGCACCCGCAAATCTTTCTGCTGACTCTTTCTCTTCTCTGATCTTCTTTCTTCTCTTCTCTGACTCTTCCCACCTCTGCTTTTCCATCTGTCCATATTGCGGGAAGTTCGACTTCTAAACTTCCTTCGATGATCTATGTACTGCGTACAGTAGTTGAAACAGATTAAAATTAAATTAGGACACTGGTGTGCCTTGTTGTTTACGGCAAAGTGCTTGCTGCATAGCACCTCAAGTTCCTTGAAAGCAGACAAATGGGTGCAAACGGTTTTACTGAGCCACCAGCAGCCATCACAGCAGTTTTGAGGTCAGGAATGATATATAATCAAGCAGAACCGCGGGCAGGCTACTGCTCTAAGTTTTGAGATGAAGAGAAACTGCCACGGGTGGATTGCCATTTGGAATTGATGTTTGCCACGAATTTTGAACTTTCGAGGGTCAACATGGTCACATGGTCACTGAGTCAGCATGGTCACTTGTCTGAAGTTGAGTGAGTGTGAGTGTGTGTGTGTGTGCTCTGGTGCAGTCTATTCTCCAGTTCTTTGGCGCGCACCATCGATCAATAGACTACATAGTCATGGTCGCAGTCCTAGAGCGATGCAAGAGGATCTTATCTTAGGCCAGTCAATGGCGGAGGTGAGAAAGAACGCATCAGTATTGGTTGGGCACTGCAATTGGTTCTCATGATGTGTTCCTGACCTCCGGGACAAGCTCTTTCTCTTTCAGGGGTTCAGTGCAAGCACTTGCTGTATCAGGTGGAAGATGGTCAAAGTACTTTTCTGGACGTGCAAGTTTGTTCTCTCAGCCAGCGTGTTGATTGCAAGGTCCGATGTGTCCAAGCCAATGGCGGCAACTGCGACACTGGCTGGGACAGTCAGGTCTTATGTGCACCTTGGCCCCATGCGTTTAATTTGCGGGTCTTTTCAACGCAATTTCGAAAATCTTGTAGGGAAAGGCCAGCGATTCTGGCATTATTGTGAAAGCTTGATTTTTCCGTTCTTGAGTCATTTGGAACTCAAGATACTGATCTTAGATGCTGATTCATTCCCTCAAAGCGGCATTACACTTGCATATTTGCATTTATAGTCTTAGTCATCAACGGAATCCATGATGCGTTGATGTTGCTGCTATGCAGAGGATTGCAGGTGATCCATACAGTCTGATCATGACCTGCCCTGAGTGACTTTTTAATGGAGATCTATAAGCCAAAGCAACTAAAGTATAGAATGTATATACATCATTATACATCGAAACTTGGTTCTGGTGCATTCTGTTGAAGACCATCATTGTGTGTGAGCGTTGCATGATGTTAC